TGTGTGTGTGTGTGTGTGTGTGTGTGTGTGTGTGTGTGTGTGTGTGTGTGTGTGTTCCAAAAAAGTTGGAAAGCCATACAAGTAAATGATGATAGAATTTTCATTTTTAGATGAACTTTAAACCACATCTTTGCAAACTGTATACAAAATACTAGGGCTGCACGATAAATCGCATGCGATATTTAACGCGCATCTTGTCAGAAAGCCGGTTCTGTAATCAGCGGTAAATCTCCATCACCTGCGGGCTTTCACATTGAGCAGCATTAACTACACAGAGCCGTTGTTCACTGACGAGCAGCGCAAAAAATCGCGCGAATATGGACGTGGTTTTGCGCAACTCGTCAGTTGCGCAACTGACGAGTTGCGCAACCCCCCCACCTCCCAATTTCATCAGACAAGGACAATTTACTCTGGAGACTTGTTACCCTGCTTTAGTTATTCATAGCCATTTTTTAAGATGGATTGAAACTCTAAAATGGAACAAATGCAAGTCAATTCGTTCTCTACATTTGAATGCGGGCTAAAAAACCACTGTGTACCTGTTCTGGACCGGCTGTGAGACACAATGGATCACTTTCAATTAGTTACTCTGGGCAGTTCACTCCACACTATAATGGCCCCTCATATTTCATGTTGATTGTTGTAACCCGTAGCAACAGGGTAGCCAATGGCTGGAAGATGCACCTGGAGAGGAGGGTTACGAGGCTATTGGGGTGCAGTGGAATGAGAGCTGTTGTTCCTGCCTGGCTGCCTAAGTCCAGTGAGAGGTCTCGTACCCCTGGGGAGTGAATTATTACCTGTCAGACCTAGGACCTCTGCATCATCTATTATGCAGCCCTCTAGTGGGGGCAGCCAGCACCAGCATGGCAGCGCGATCAGTGGGCCTTGGCCTTCAAACCTGGCCTCCTCTCTCCTGGTGGGTACAACTTGTGGCGTTCCAGCTATTATGAACATCTCCAGAAATTGTGAGTCCCTGCGTTATATACAAATGCGAGAATGCTAAATAGCCATACAGGTTGGTAAGATTCCAGCTGAGAGGTTGTGGCATCTCTGCCAGGCCTTCGTAATCTGCTGTAATGAATGGCATTATTGTGCTAAACTCTGTTATTAAGTTGTTGGTGGTCGATGATTTTAATTTGTCACACATTCACACTTAAATAAATTCTGTTGAAATCCTCAACAGAGTCAAAATGCCAGTCCTATTCTTACTCTAGTCTGAGGCAGGCTGTGACGCCTCTGGGATATTTTTATTGGGGTGGCCAGATTGGGACAGTAAAAATCTCAGAGTGGCACAAAAAAAAAAGCCTGTAGCATGGCTGAATTTTAGGATGTGCAGGGAGTTTTGCCATTTGATTTATGTCTGTCAAATGATTCATTGCCTATGTATTGCTTTGTAAAATTATTATTGCATAAGTTTAGATTTTGATTTAAAACAAGTTTCAGGTCCAGTTCTCCAGCAAATGCAAACATAACGTACACTGTTTAAGGAGTCAATATGTTGTATTGATATGAAATTAAACTGGCAATTTTAATTTCAGGAGAATTCATTGTAAATTTTCAAATTGGCAGCTATAATACCAAGCCTAAAAGACCAGGGATCTCATGTAT